TTATCTTTAAAACTTAAACTTTAAACTTAATTTATAAGACTACACTTACCTATCAAACTACCAATAGATCCAATTATTCCATTTGTAAGTGTTGTGTTATTGACTGGGGAATGACACGAGTTAAATAAGTTTAAATCTTGTATAAATTCTTTAATGATGGGATGGCATCCAATAATTCAAACTGGAATTCATCATTTGTTTTGTCAAAAGGGAGCAACACGAAGAAAATAAGAGCAACGAAAGTGGATGGTTGGTGATTTGCCCCTGAAAATTTGGACTGAGAGTGTTTCATCGGGCAGTCAACAATATAAGCAGTGGGCGTGGTGACACTATGCAGGGGTGGTTTAAGGAAAATTGGGGACAGGTATCGATTCTATCTGTTGGATAATTAAATTTGTTTAAGCTTTATAAGGTGTAAAGATCAATACTTTCTGAAATTTGCTAAAATTAGGGACCATAACCAAACTGCAGTTAAACAATTTTTTTCTTGGGAGTATTGACTGAGGCTAACGACTTCGGTTAAAAAAAAAAAAAAATTTCTAAATTGATGTACCTGCCAAGTTTTGGGGCTTAAATGATGTATTTTTTTGGTTGAGGAGCTATAAAGTTACAACTATGTAAGTTCAAGGGCTAACCCTTAAGTTTAGCCTCCAAAGTTGTATCTTCGACCTATTTCTAAAAGATTAAGGGTCTAAAAGCAAAGATTGAAGGACTAAATTGATAATTAAACAGTTTGAGAGGATTAATTACAAAATGTTTTTATAGTGTATGTATAATAATTTGAAAATTTCATAAAAAAATAATTTGAAAACGTTTTCCTAATATGTTATTCTTATATATTGAGTAATTTTATTTTACAAAAAATGTTATTTATGTACTATAAAAAAACTAATATCAAAATACTTGACCTAACCAGATATAGTATTTTTTTTTTTTATTAAAATAGACTCAACAGATTGTAGCAACGAATTTGATCACTGTCGAGTTGGAATTGTAAAGACTTGTGCTTTTGAAAATGTCACAAAAAGATTATTTTTGGTTTCTTAAGTTTTG